AAATCTTTGTTTGTGTTCTACTGAAGAAACAAAGTCACCTACATCTTGGATGCCCTGGGGGTAAGCAGCTAAACATCACATTTTCATTTATGGGTGAACTATCCCTTTAAGTTAGATTGTTCTAAATGTTTCTCCTTTTTATCATCTTGAACATCCTAATTTGTCATTGGCCCGTCATTCTTATGTTCGAGTCTGACTCTTTCACATCTTTAAATGAGAGCAGAGATATTTTGAGAAATAATCACCTCTCCACTTCAGCTCTCAGTGCTCCTCTCAGATTCTTCTCTTTCTGTGAATCTGTAGCCAAATATCATTATTGTTGCAGTTAGATTCAGAGCAATTACAAAGAGCTGGAAGCATACATTTTAAAATGTCAACCGTAATGTCAAATGTAAAAGTCTGATAAACCAGCTTAAACCATATACAGGTAAGACCAGCAAACCATCTCAGGCAGGTTTAAGAGCTTTTTAACCAGGATAGCGCACATGTGAAATACTGTGTTTCAAACTAGGGATGTGTTTCTCAGTAAGATGGACCCTTGGCTTCATTATGGTCCTGACACACACTTATGTCAATACATGACTTTAAAACTCGATGCATCATGAACTTTCAGCAGCTTCTCTCCTGCATATACAGAGTTCTTGTCAATTCCTTGACCTTCATCTCCGACTATATGAACCTTTCTTTCTGTATTTTGCGTGAAGTATTCTTTCAGTTCATTGGCTCGTCGGGTTTTACCACTGCACGGGTAACCACACATTAATATTAAAGGCATTTTATTAAAGTCTGGATGACGGGTGGAGATTCATACTTCTCTACAGTGCTCCGTGGGAGATTTTCTTCTTCGCGCTCATGTATTGTGCTGATATGGCCAGTGCATTGCTGCCCTCTACAGGCCTGTGGTCAGAAGGTAAAACGTTCCAGATAGGGATGGGCGATACCCCTTATTTTGTTTTCGATACGATACCGATATTTTTCAAGGCAGTATCGTCGATATCGATACCGATTCGATACTTCTGCACTAAACTTTTAAATTATGAAATTTATTAAATTATTAAATTACTAAGAGTAAAATGGGTAATGAAAACCACTTAACTTTATGTTTAAAACGCATTTTAACCCGTTTAATCCCAAATTTTTCCCAGACATGAAAATATCCAAATGATGTGTCATTAGTAACCCTTTGAAATAATCAATATATTATTTTTTTTTGGAAAAGTGTGTGAAAATTTTTATTTTATGGTCAGTCACAATTGTAACCGGTGGGATAATGTGTATACTGAATTAACATATTTCTGCAGTCTTAAAAATTGTTATATATCTTAGCCCAGCTATTTTAAACTGTTTGATCACATTCTAGGGTTACTATTATGCATAAAAAACCCTTATACAACATTGATAGGAATACTGAGATCAAATACAAAAAAATACAACCATCAGCGTATTTCAAAATTGTTACTTTTTTGTAACATATATCATCACATTTTTATATTAGTGCTTACCAGTATTACAACATTAATATTCTAACTTATTTGTAACATTTGAACTTTTGATTTAGTGCAATATTTTGTACTGCCATTAGGGACTGCCAGTGAATGGCTGTTGCATGCATTAAATGCAACCTTTTTATTCTGACAGTGTATGATTTCTATTAACATGATCAGTATTATCTTTCAACGTTCAATTTAAATAATTGTAATTGCACAAACTATGTAGGCTACAATTTCAATTTGTTTACTGTGAAATAACTCAAACATTTATGTTTTTTTCTGTCCTCTGATAAGCATTGTTCAGGGCTGCCGTTCCCAAAAGCTTTAATGCTTTCTTATGATAATTTTGGGAAACGTAGCCCTGTTTGAATGCACTGTCAGCAGTGAGTGAATGCTCTCTGTGATTGATTGGTTATGTCTTGCAACATTTGCGTGTGTTCAGATGAGCAGGAAAATAGTTCTATCCTACACAATTACTCGCTAACAAAGGTTATTCGTCCAATTCAATGCATATTGTACGCATTATTATTATTATTATTGTTAAATAAACAAAACCACTGGTAAATAAAATGCACCTTAGTATCGATATTTTTGTTTGAGCATCGATACTTTCGATACTCGCGTCAGTATCGATATATCGATACTTTGTATCGATACGCCCATCCCTAGTTGAGGCATCAAAAGTAACTAAGTAACAAGCTGATTTATGGATGGCAACTGTAATATTATTACTGAAATCTAAATAGTAATTAGTTACACTACTAGTTACTGCAAAAAGTAATATCATTACAGTAACTAGTTGTATATTACTAGTATATAATATGGTCTAAATCCTGATTGGAAATCCTCACAGATACCATTTCTCTCTAAGAATAAACATAGCTGAGAGGATACTGCCTTTTCTAGTATTTTTGACAGAAAAGGGAGATTTGAGATTGATCTGTAATTAACTAATTCTCTAGGATCAAGTAGTGGATTTTTTTTAATGAGGGGCTTAATAACAGCCAATTTGAAGGTTTTGGGAGCATATACTTATGACATTAACAAATTAATAATTTTCAGAAGAGGATCTATGACTTCTGGAAGCACCTATTTTAGTAACTTAGATGGAATAGGGAGTAACATGCATGTTGTAGGTTTTGATGATTTGACAAGTTTATACAATTCTTCCTCTCCAATAGCAGAAAATGAGTGGAATTGTTCCTCGGGGGATCGATAGTGCATTATCTGATGCGATTCTGTAGCTGACGGCTGCATGGTTAGAATTTTATCTCTAATAGTATCGATCTTGGAAGTAAAGAAGTTCATAAAGTCATTACCGCTGTGCTCTTGGGAAATGTCTGTGTCTGTTGATATGTTTTTTGTTAATTTAGCAACTGTATTGAATAAATGTCTGGGGTTGTGTTTGTTTTCTTCTAAGAGAGACGCAAAGTAAGCAGATCTAGCAGTTTTTAGAGCTTTTCTATAAGTAGAAGTACTTTCCCGCCATGCAATACGAAATACCTCTAGTTTTGTTTTCTCTGGGCTGCTCTCTTTAAGGCGCGAGTGTGCTTGTTATGCCACAGTGTTGGACTGTTTCCTTAATCTTCTTTAAGTGTAAAGGAGCAACCTTATCTAAAGTGCTAGAAAAGAGAGTTTATAGTTTCTGTTCCAACATCAAGTTTTTCTGAGCTATTGAATTTGCTGAGTAATTGAGTAAGTCAGGAAGATTATTTACAAAGCAGTCTTTTGTGGTAGAAGTGATGGTTCTACCACATTTATAACAAGGAGTTGAATTTGCAGCTTTAGCTATATGAAGTATACATGAGGCTAGATAATGATCCGAGATATCACTCTGCTGCAGAATTTCAACGCCATTAATATCAATTCCATGTGACAGTATTAAATCTAAAGTATCATTATGACAGTGAGTATGCCCTCACACGTGTTGTCTAACCCCAATGGAGTTCAGAGTCTAGAAATGCTGATCCCAATGCATTTTTTTTTCATTATCAACATGGATATTAAAATCACCAACAATTAAGATTTTACCTGCAGCCAGCACTATCTCAGATAGAAAATCAGCAAATTATTTGGTAAAGTCTGTATGGTGCCCTGGTGGCCTGTATACAGTAGCCAGTACAAACGTCACAGGGGATTAATCATTAAAGGGGTCATATGATGCTGCTAAAAAGAACATTACTTTGTGTATATAACAGTAATCTTGCGGGGTAGACTCATTTAAAACAATGTAATCATCTGGTTTTAGCCAAGTTTCTGTCATACAGCGCACATCTAAGTTATGATCTGTGGTCATTTCGTTTATAAAAAGCGCTTTTGTAGAAAGGGATCTAATATTCATTAAGCCAAGCATTATCATTTATCTATATCTATATCTATATCTATATATATATATATATATATATAGAGAGAGAGAGAGAGAGAGAGAGAGACAGTCTCTATAGTACAATATCTAGGTGAAGGAGTCTCTGTTTGCTGAGAATTAACTGACTTCTGTGACGTGAGGCGGCCAGCAGACGGTCAGTTTAGCCAGTCTGTCTGCTTCCTGACCTGGGCCCCAGTTCGTCAAGTACAAACTCTAAAACTTGCCATATTTCTAGAGAGAAGAGCGGCACCACCCCTGGATGATGAAGACCATCTCTTTTCAACAGGTCAGGCCTGCCCCAAAAACTCCAATTGTCCAATTGTCTATGAAACCTATGTTATTCTGCGGGCACCACTTAGACAGTCAGCCATTGCGTGACAACAGTCTGTTATGTATCTCATCACCACGGTAAGCAGGGAGGGGACCAGAGCATATTAC